AACATTGACACATCATAATTAACAAAAGCCCATAGTTTGCTGTAGGTTTCACTCTTGGTATTATACAGTTTAGTGTTTGGATAAATGTATCAGGACATTCTTTCATCATTTTAATATCATAGAGAGTATTTTCACCGCCCTAAAAATCTTCTGTGCTCTGGCTATTTATCCTTCCCCTCAATCCTATCTCTAGGAACCACCAATCTTTGGTGTATCTATAGTTTTGCCTTTTCCAGAATGTCATATATTTGGAATCATACAATATGTACCCTTTTCAGATTGGCTCCTTTCACTTAATAGTATGCTTTAAGGCTCCTCTATGTCCTTTCATGGCTTTATAGCTCGTTTCTTTTTAGTGCTGAAAAATATTCCATTTTTCTGGATGTACCATAGTTTATCCATCCACTTACTAAAAGACATCATGGTTGCTTCCAATTTTTGGCAATTATACAGAAATCTGTATGAACATACATGTGCAGGTTTTCATGTGGACATACATTTTCATCTTCTCTGGGTAAATATCAAGGAATGTGATTGCTGGATCTTATAATAACAGTATATTTAGTTTTGTAAGAAACTGTCAAAATGTTTTCCAAAGTGGCGGTACTATTTTGCATTTCCATTAGTGACAAATGAGAGTTCCTGTTACTCTACTCACCAGCATGTACTTGTCAGTGTCCCAGAGTTGGCCATTCTAATAGTTGTACAGTGATATCCCACTGATGTTTCAATTAGCATTTCCCTAATGTGGAGCATCGTTCTTAATGTTTTAAATACATATCTAAATATAGTTCGGGTTTTAGTTCGGAAAGACCTCAGTTTTGTTGTTATTATTGTTGTCATTGTTATTTTATTTTTAAAGTCTGCTAAATATTGGGCTTTTGGGACAGTAAAAATTCAGACTTGTACTTTTTAAAGCGTGATATTCAATATTTCCCAATATACAATTTCTCTAGTCTGACAAAGAATGTCTGGAAGCACATAGCACCTTCATAAAGTATGAAAACAAGGAATTGACATTGAAGACACTGGATAGTAGCCTTCTTTCCTTTAAAAATATTACATTAAAAATTATATTAAATACATTTGATATATAGCCAGATAATCAATGTACAATTATATTGTTAATCATTGAATACTAGTAAATAATCTATTTCTAGACACCTCCCTGACTCATTATGTCAGTGACCAGAACAGTATCTAGTACCTAGTAGTGGGTATTAAATAACAATTTTTTTAATGAATGAATAGATGGGTGGGTGAATAAATTACCATAAAACATGAATGTTTTGCAGTTGGCAGTTATTTATTACTGATACACTTATAATTTATATAAATAAAAACTCTTCTTAAAATGTTTGACAGAATAAATTTATTGATCTAGAACTTATAAAAGACAAATATTTAGAAAAACCTATCCCCTGCTTTTCTATAGGTTCTTTTCTATCTCCTTATTTTTTTCTTTAAATAATAAAAGGGGAAGAAAAAAAAAACAGCCTTTTAACCAGCTCCCAAGAATAACATTAACATAATTAGCATGGTATATGTCTTTAAACAAATAAAATTCAAATGAAACCTGTTATGGATTCTTTTCTAATTTTGTTTATGTTTGAGAATACTATAGAGTGAAGTCTTTTACTGTAACTTATTGTTTTCATATTTTAAAAAATTTAAAATTAATAGGGGCACCTGGGCGGCAGAGTCAGTTAAGGGTCCCACTCAGTTTCTGTTCAGGTCATGATCTCAGGATTGCCAGACAGAGCCCCACATCTGACTCCATGCTCAGCTTGGAGTCTGCTAGAAACTCTCTTTCCCTCTCCTTCTACCCTTCCCCCCTGCTCTTTCTCTCAAATAAATAAATGAACCTTTAAAAAAATTAAGATTAATGAAGTTGGATCTATTACTCTTGGCATTTGATAAATAAGCTTATTAAAGGGAAGTTTTGGGCAGCCGGGGTGGCTCAGCGGTTTAGCACCACCTTCACCGCCTCCTGGAGACCCAGGATCAAGTCCCTTGTCAGGCTCCCTGCATGGAGCCTGCTTCTCCCTCTGCCTGTATCTCTGCCTGTCTCTCTCTCTCTCTGTGTGTGTCTCTCATGAGTAAATAAATAAAATCTTTAAAAAATAAAAAAATAAATAAAGGGGAGTTTCTTCTCTAACAAGCAATATCATTCCTTACTTTTTAGTACCTCATTGTTGTAAGAAATTTTTCACAAGAAAGAATTCAAATTTTACAACTCCATTACTGAGGAGAAGCTGAAATGATTCCTAAAGTATATTTTGCTGATTTCATCAAACATGTCCCAATAAAAGTGCTTTCCCCAGAAACTGAATTATAATCTAATAATTTAACTTAGAGTATCTCACTTGATACATTTCAAATTTTTTTTTAATTTTCATTTATTTTTTTATGATAGTCACACACAGAGAGAGAAAGAGGCAGAGACATAGGCAGAGGGAGAAGCAGGCTCCATGCACCGGGAGCCCGACGTGGGATTTGATCCGGGGTCTCCAGAATCGCGCCCTGGGCCAAAGGCAGGCGCCAAACCGCTGCGCCACCCAGGGATCCCCATTTCAAATTTTTTAATTTATATTTGTTGATATAGTATTATGTGTTTTTCCCCAGGTTAGGTCATTAAAGAAATGATATACTTTTTCATTATAATTACATATGAAAAACTGATTTACTGTGACTTTCAGGTCTAAAGACTGAATTGAGCTGAATCAGTTCAGAGAAGCATTTCTCTAATTAGGTAACTTATACTGTTCTAATAAACTATAGTCATATTTTTTATTGTCTTCAGTGATCTTTATTTTAATAACTATTGCATGTACTATTTCCTGTAGTACATGTCCCATTTCTTCATCAGTGAAAAGGAGAGAATGACAGTTATCATTTCATGATGTTAGAGAAGTAAGTACATGATTCGTGCTTGGTACAATGTCTGGCACAAAGTAACTAATGCTATTTATTATGATAAATAAAAATTGTCCAATATGCCTCAAATTTATAGATATTGTCACTAAGATAAAGAAAAGAAAGTAGAGGGATATAGTATTTTGGATATAGTATAGTACTTCGGATATAGTATTTACATTACACAAGCATCTGTACTGGGTGCATTAAATATTATCTTTATTTATTCTTGACATCAACCCTTTGAAGTAACTGAAGATAAGAGATAGGATGGATATAGCATTGAGCCCACCCATTATCCCAGTTGTTTATTGTAGCACATGTTTCTTTCTTCTTCACCTCACAGTTCAACATGGATCCCCCAGGAAATACTACTCCACACAGACATCCTCAGAACCAGGCTATTTCTATAGAGTGATTCTATCCTCTTCTAAGGCTTCCGAGTCCTCAAATTGGCTCTCTGCTTCTAGTGAACAGAAAGGGAAGAGAAGGTCATATTTGAGAAAAAAATCAAACTTAGGGTCAAGGTTAAAACAATAATTGTATGACATTATAACCTTGCTATTTCTTAAACTGTACTATTTATTCTTCTCTGTATCCCTATCACTTCACATTAAGCATTTGTTTATTGAATTATTCATTCAACAAATTATCCCCTGTTAGTTCACACAATATATTAGCTGAATGTATTAAATATTTAATTTATTAATATAAATAGTCACTGCTTACCTATGGATATTACCCAGAAAAATAGGAATCTAAAACAATCTCTATCTATTGGCAACTTCCTCCATTCTGGTTTAATCCATGGTTCTATAATTTAGTATCATAGTTTAATTTAATTATGCTTAGATTTGTTATTTGAAATTAGGATTACTTTATTTCCCAAAAAAGTGAAAATATAATAAAATATTTTCTAATGCAGCAAAGAAGAGAAAGCTAGTCTTCATTTAGACTTAAACTTTAAAAATAAATTATTTCTGGGAGCACCTGGGTGGCTCAGTGGTTGAGTTTCTGCCTTAGGTTCAGGTCGTGATCCCAGAGGTCCTAAGATTGAGTCTGCATGTGGGGAGCCTGAATCTCCCTCTGCCTATATCTCTGCCTCTGTGTGTCTCTCATGAATAAATAAATAAATAATCTTTACAAAAATAAAAATAAAAAATTATTTATGACAAATGTCTCTTCTGCCACCTATGAAAGAGATAAATGGCAAGATTTCTGATTCTTAATGGTAACTATGAAATCCAGAAAACTTCTCCCTTAAAAAGAGTGGAACTCACAGAGTAGGGTATTAGATACAAAGGACAGAAGAGAGACTGAACTGGAGGTGAAAATTTGAGATTATAAATTTATGAATTATTTATAAAGCTAGGAAACTAGGCTCTTTTAGCCTACAAGTAGGTATAGAATAAGAAGAAGAATCAGAACTCCAGAGAATGTCAGTGTTTATTGCACAGGTAAATGTTTTATGGATTGACCCTACTTTGAATGAATGCCAACATTTTAAGAATGTTTGGAGTCCCTGGTTCTCCTATCTATTGGTCTCGATGCCCTAAAATTTCTACTTAAAAAAAACAAAAAACAAAAAAAACAAAACGTACCTGGCCTCTAATTCTGATGTATTTTTCAATAATCAAAGCAAAGTTGCTAGATGTCCAAAATTTCTCTCTTGCTCACTCATTGAGAGTGAGCTTGTTTTTCACTGCAGGTAGTTTGATTTTTGCATTACTAATAGCCTGCTTTTAAAGCTGTTGCTATTTTGTTGGTTTTGAATTGTTCTAAATGATCTGTGAAACAAAAGCAAAACTTGGACAGTTGCATATCCTCAAAGGAAAAAATTGGATACAAGAATAAATGGCCTTCCAATAGATACTTTGGGCCAGGTCTGCTTCTGAGAATGCCTTCCCCTACCGAATGTGTGTCCCAGAATTCAGTTAACAAAGGAGAGAATGGTACAAAGTCAAAGACAAGAAAATCTGATTACCAATGTTAACATGAGAATTCTAAAATCACGAGGTAAAACCGAGAGTGATAAACAAAAGAGCAAGTTTTGTACATTTGATTTAGTTTTTAGTTAGTTTGTTGTGCTCACTTGGGCAATTTTAAACTTAAAATTGGAAGGATACAGAGAAGGTTCATATGACCTCTGTGTGAGTATGACACACAAATTCATGGAGCTTTCCATATTTAGTTACAGTTAGTCATACATTTTTCAAATTATGTGTATAATATATGTAGACATTACACATTTAATGATTTATTTATATATTGTTTTGCAAAGCACACAGCACGCTCAGAAAGGACTTGGCAGAGTAATTGTCACAGAGGAAGAACAGATCAATCTTAGTTGTTTTTTGTTAAGCTTTTGGCCTGCACTGTCTCATTAAATACTCACCATTCTATGGTACATGCTACTGGTGCTACCATTTTAAGGGAGGAAATGAAAGATTTAAAAACCTAAATAATTTTTATTGAAGTATGATTGAAATAAAACTTTCTATTAGTTACAGGTGTACATCATACTTATCCAGCATTTTTACACATTACAAAATTATTCCCACGATAAGTCTAGTTACCATCTGTCACCATATAAAATTATTATATTGTTGACTATATTCCCTATGCTGTACATTACAACGTCTCATTTATTTTTATAACTTGATGTTTGTTCTTTGTTCATACACTCCTACTAGAGCTAGAATTCCTGTAATGTCTTGTGAAGCCAGGTGTCTCTTCATTGGTTTATCTCAACCTACTATAGTCTTTGTCTGACTCTCTTTCCTCTTATGCGGGCATGGCCCATTTTGGAGCAAAATTTATTGCTGGAAAAGAATTTATATAACCTAAAGAATAGGCAGGCTATTTATGAGCCATATAGGTGTCTGTTTCAGACACGATTATGTCTTGATAGGAAATTAGAAATGTGCAAGTAATGGGTGAAATAATTAAAGTATAAGATTTTTATTAGCATCCAATAAGTAGAAGGCTCAAAATGCAAATAGGGGTTGCTTGGATTCTAATCAGTTTCTCTTGAGAAATAGTATGCCCCAAGTTTTAATGATCATTCAGATTAAAGTTAGACATTCTCATTATCTTACTTCAGCTAATGACATGAAATCACTTCCTGTTATAGCAACCACTTCCATAAATGCCAATATTTATGTTTCCAGTATTGAAAAAAATCACAACTTTCTCAGTCTCAGTATACTGAAATTTAGTACCAGGTTGCCAACTGCAACCCTGAAATAGTACCTGGCCACCTACCTTTATTCGTAGACCAATAAAATCTAGAGCCTTAAAAATGCCATCACCTTGTTTGACTGCACTGAACTGTGAAACCTGGAAGGATGTAGAAACCAGAATAGGCTGCTAAAATGAAGTCATCTTGCCAAAGGGACAATTTGTAATGGGGCATTGTGCTGACAGGTCTGCAAGCCTACAGTCTAAAGTCACTGAGTATATTTGAGCTCAAAATAGACTTGTGTGTGACAAAAACAGCATTATTCTCAACAGTTGAGGGAACTTGATGGATATTGCTTCTCCAAACTCTGGAAAATTAAAATTGAGGCCCTATGGGAAGGCCTATTCATGTAGTATGCTCTGATTTCTTCAAGAAATGATGGCATCTATAGAGAGAATGGTCTACACATGCTCACTGAACATGAAGTACTATCTTTGTCTTTATTTTTTAAATTGAAAAAATGACTATATATGTATATTGTTTTTTTGTGCTCTAATAATTAAAAAGTTTATCTCAGTGTAAACTCTACACCATATTTCATAATGCATCGCTTTTGGTGAAAACAATTAAAATGATATTAAATAGCATTGTCTCAAAAGTCGGTGTAGAATTGTTTATCTAGAACCTGATACTTTGTTGACAGAAATAGCGGAGTATATGGAATAGTTTCAGGAGATATAAGTTTCTTCTTTTTGTAATGCATACTTTATGCTCTTATGTATAATCTATATGATAAACATAAGCAGGTTTTCACTTTGATTTTTTTTTAATTGTCAAACAGAAATATGCACATGCAAAAAAACTTTCATTTTCAAATATTTGTCTATTGCAAATTTCCAGATACCTCAAAATTAAACATGCTCCATGTTAATTTATAGATCAGACAATTCTTCTCTCACAGTAAAAGTAGAATTTATTTTCCTCCATGGAAAGAATTTGTCCTGACAGTCTTCAGCAGCCATATTGGGTGGATGAAAATCAAAGAATGATAACTGTAGTCCTAGCTCTTCAAGATTTGTTCATCCCTCTAGATCAGTTTCCTCATCTGAAAGATGAAAGTCTTGAAGTCCACAGTAGTAGTTAATATTTACTGAGAACTTGCTTTGTGTCAGGCACAAGACCTCTACAAGGTCACTCCTAATATTACTTTCATTATATGAATGAGGAAAATTGAGACACAGAAAAACAAAATAAATCTCATAAATAATAAGAAATTACATCTCATTCTGCCTTCCTAAAGTGTTTTCTTGCTGTAAAGAAAATGAATGATTCTACATCTTGCCTTGTTATAGTTTGCTGTTTAAATCTTTGTGCTTGAATTAGGATTATGTTTTCCCACACTTTTTATATAAACAGTCTATTAAAGAGTGGACATGTAAGTAGGATCATAATAAGCACTGTGATGTCAAATTAAAGACAGCTTATTTTTCTTTTCTTTAGCTTTTCTTTTCCTTAGTTCTTTTGAAAATAAAGAACTGACCTACTTCCTATACTCACAACTAAGCAAAGAGAAAGAACCTAATAGTCATAAAAAAGAAAATAATGTCTGGAAAAAAAAAAAGAAAAACTAAGATGGCCTATTTCCATATCCAAGGAACAGGCCTATTGGAAAATAAGTCACTTTCTTTCAACTTGCCTAGTCCAACATTGGGAGATACAGAAGCCAAAGAAACTTTCTGATCATTTTCAAAGTTATATCTAATAAAAGCAAATTCTAGCACTATATATATAGAGAGAGAGATATAGATATAGATATAGATATAGATAGATAGATATAATTAATTTTATAAAATCAAGTCATGTGGAATAGATGAATAGTTAGTAATTTAGATGGCTCCAAGAACTCTGAAGTACCCCAAATCACACACTAAATTAAAAACATTTGATCAGGTGAAATGGAAGCACTGGCTGGACCTAAGCACACCCTAAGAAAACCAAACAATTATTCTGAACTCTAGTTCTTTTTTTTTTTTTTTTTTTTAGATTTTATTTATTCACGAGAGAGAGACAGAGACAGAGACATAGGCAGGGGGAGATGCAGGTTCCCTGCAGGAGCCCAATGCAGGACTCAATCCCAGACCCTGGGATCATGCCCTGAGCCAAAGGCAGACACTTAACTGCTGAGCCACCCAGATGTCCCCTGAACTCTATTTCTGAAAAGCAAAATTATCAACTGTTATTTGGCTTAAAGAAAAGTTTTACATTTGATCAAATTAACATACATTTTATTCCTGCCTTTTACCAACTCCGAGAAAAGAACCCCAGCCATTTCATAAAATGTTCAATGTGCTCACAAATACATCCTATCAGAAGAGAAAATTATAGGCCAGTATCCCAAATGAACATAGATGCAAAAATCTTCAACAAAATATTAGCAAACTGAATTCAACTATACATTAAAGTATCCTATAGCAAGAACAGGTGAGACTTATCCCTGATATTCAAGGATGGTTCAATAGCTGCTAATCAATCAATGTCATACATGACATTAACAAAAGGAAGGATAAAGTCATGATCATTTCAATAGATGCAGAAAAAGCATTTGACAGAATACAATATCCATTCCTAATACCTCTCTGCAAACTGGGAATAGAAGGAATGTACTGCAACAGAATAAAGGCCATACAAGACAAACCCACTGCTTACATTACACTCAACAGTGAAAAACTAAGAGATTTTCCTTTAAGAACAGAAACAAGACAAAAATGCTCACTCTTGCCACTTTTCCATACTACTAGAAGTGCTAGCTAGAGCAATTAAACAGAATAAATAAATAAATAAATAAATAAATAAATGGTATACAAATTAGAAAGGAAGAAGTAAATGGTCACTATTTGCAGGTGATATGATATTACATGTAGAAAACCCTAAAGACTCTCCAAAGAAATCTATTAGGACTAGTTAGCAAATTCAGTAAGGTCACAAGATTTAAAATCAATATACAAAAATCAGTGTGTTTCCATAAGTCAGTAATGAAAGGGAAATTAAGCAACCCCATCTACATCTGCATCAAAAAGAATAAAATACTTAGGAATAAATTTAACCAATGAGGTAAAATATCTTTGTATTAAAAATTGTAGGATAGTGATAAAAGAAAGTGAAGGAAATTCAAATAGCAAACACATGGAAAGATATTTCATGCTCATTTTAATATTGTTAAAATGTCCATACTACCCAAAGTCATCTACAGATTCATTGCAATCTCTACCAAAATTCCAGTGGAATTTTTCACAGAAATAGACTAAACACTCCTAAATTTGGCATGGAATCACAAAATAATGAAATATCCAAAGCAATCTTGAGAAAGAACAAAGCTGGAGGCATCACATCTCCTGATTTCAAACTCTACTATAAAGCTATATCAAACCAGTATGGTACTAGAATACAAACAGTCACGTAGATCAATGGAACAGAATAGAGATTGCCAAGAAAAACATGGTCAATTAATTAATGACAAGGGAATCAAGAATGTACAATAAGGAAAGAATGTCTCCTCAACAAATGGGGTTGGGAAGGCTGGACAGGCACATATAAAAGAACAATACTGGACAAAAAGCAACTCAAAATAGATTAAAGACTTGAATATAAAATCTGAAGCCATAGAACTCCTAGAAGAAAACATGGGGATTAACATTGGTCTTGGTAACGGGTTTTTGGATTTGTCACCAAAAGCAAAGACATCAAAACCAAAAATTATTTTTTTCCAATAAATTTATTTTTTATTGGTGTTCAGTTTGTCAACATACAGAATAACACCCAGTGCTCATCCCTTCAAGTGCCCACCTCAGTGCCCGCCACCCAGTCACCCCCACCCCTCGCCCACCTCCCCTTCCACCACCTCTAGTTCATTTCCAAGAGTTAGGAGTCTTTGATGTTCTGTCTCCCTTTCTGATATTTCCCACTTATTTTTTTCTCCTTCCTCCTTTATTAGCAAGTAGGACTACTTCAAA